CCTTGCAAAGTGTGATGTCGCATGTGTTGAGTTGTCGCGGGCTTGTCGGTATTGGAAGAGTGAGAACGTAGAAGCACTCATCACAGAGTTGTGTCCATACAAGGTTTTCACTGACCGATGTCTTTTCATGCCCGCAAAGCAGAACAATGCGAAGCATACATATCCTGCGCAGTCACCCCATCCGATCCAGTGTTTTCGATGCAAGTGCGAGCGTGACCATGTCCTTTGAATTCTTGAAACCTTCGCTGTGAGGGCTTGTATCCGACGAACATGAGCCGTGCAGTGCTTCAGAGCATCCTTGACTTCCCTTGAGATTTTTCCAGAAAGCCCCACGGGATTTTTCGCGCGCCAAAAACTTTTTGTGAGAGAACCTTTTGCGAAAGTTTTCAAGTCATCAGCGACTTTCGGCAGCCTTTTCTTGGTTGGAGCTTGACAGCTACAAAGCAGAGGAGGCTACAATTTAGTGAAAGAGAATGCAGCGTCTAGATTTGGAATCAGCTTGAGCGCAGCATTTAATTCGGAGCAGCTTCAATGCACAGTGCATCAGCAAGTCAGTGCTTGTGAACCCGAGCGTGTTAATCATCCTATTCCACCTCTCTATGTCCGCGCGGCAAGCTGCAAAAGTCTCTGGCGAGGCTTTGAAAGGGCAATTGTTTAGAGTGCGTGCTGGCGAGTTCCAGCTAGTGATCGTCGTGCTGTGAGGGGGTCTGAAAAGTCACTTCTTGAAGTTCCTTGTGAGCCAGCACGAAGATCCCAAAGGCCCACTTGAACGATAGTGTTCATGTTTTTGGCCACTCTTGACTTCAGTCAAGAACACCTTTATCCATGTGAGCGAACACACCAAGATTGACCGAAACTTGACTCAAGCTGCGTAACTCGAAGAGTCGTGGGAGCAGCGGAAAAAAATTGCGTCGGGATTTCAAATCGACATGCATCTTCGCAAAAAGTGCTTCATGAGCTTGGTTCGGCTGCTGCTCTTCCATTAGCAAGAGTGGCAAGAACTGGGTCCGCCCGAAATCTAGCCCAAATAGCGTGTGTTGTGGTGTCGTGTGGCAGCACACAAAGGAGAGCCACCGCAGGAGAGTGCGCATAAGCAACCGCACGCCTGAGAGCGCGCGCAGAAGGAAAGTACATATGAAAGCATAAAAGAAAGCGCGCATCTGAGGGCGCGCGCGTGAACACACGTGCAAGAGAGCTCACGTGAGACCGTGTGCATAAACACAACTGCGCAAGCTGACTGATTCCCGATTTTCCGCTTCTTTCGAATGTTTCTGGGATATTTTTCGCGTTCTTTTTTCATGGGAGTGCTTTACAAGCAGCAGAAAGGTCAAGGGACGACGAAGCAGCAAAGCCAGCGGGAGGGAGAGAGCGAATCAGTGACAAAGGGAGGGGGCAGAAAAGGCGCCCCACTTAACAAAGGAGAAAGAGCAGTGAGGCATAAAAGGGACTTCTTTGCGGTTGTCTTCAGGCTTCGAAGGTCTTAAGAATTCTTCGGCTTTCCTCCTCTAAATTTTCCCCTCAGGTTGTTAACCAAAAGGCATGCGCCCTTGGAATGGCACCTTCCTCCTTTAAATTTTGCCCTCACTTTCCGCCCCTAAATTATACCCTCGGGTGGTTTGGAAAAGGCGTGCGCCGTTGGACTGGCACCTTCCTCCTCCAAAATTTTACCCTCGGGTAGCTCACAAAATCGGGTGGTTCACAAGAGGTACGCGCCGTTGGGATAGCAACTTCCTCTAAATTTTACCATCGGGCGCCTCACGAGAGGTATGCGCCGTTGGAGACAAGTCATGAGGGGCAGCAAAAAGAGGCCAGCAGGAGGCGTGCGTTTGCCCGGCATCTTATCATCGACGAAGTTTTTATGCTTTCTGCAGCTTCGCTGGCCGCTTGCAGCAACACACGCTCGGTAGACCCTGGCCACGGCAAGCAGCACAGCAAGCTGCCTATTTGCCACTGCAAAAGCAGAAGCAACAGCAAATGCAGAAGCAGAAGCAAAAGCAAATGCAAAAGCAGCAGCAAAAGCCGAAGCAGAAGCAGGAGCAAAGGTAAGAGCAGAAGCAGAAGCAAAAGGAGAACGCAAAAACAGAAGCAAAAGCATAAGATAAAAGCAAAGGCAACAGCAAAGGCAAAAGCAAAAGCAGAAGCAAAGCAATTAAGAAGCAGAGGCAAGAAGCAGAAGCAGAAAAGACACGGACAAATACCAGAGAATAGCGGTTCCCCTTCAAACATCCAAACGCATTCCTCTTGCGCCCCAACGCCCGTATTTTAACCAACAAAGCACTGCTTGCAGCGCGAACCTTTCTCCTGAAGCCAGATCTCACTGCCGCTGCTCACTGCCGCTGCTCACGCATTTCAATCCTCCCCAGGCATTTTGATTGTTCCTGAGCACTTGTCAGCATGTGTGTGTGTGTGCATGTGTGTGTGTTTGATTGTAGGTGGATCAGCTCTCTCTTCGCCAACTTTACTCTCACCCAATAGTTGCTGTTGCGAAAGGCAAATAAAGGCAATGAAACGTTAAATGCGCAAGCCTTCCAAACAACAACTCTGTGGCAGAATGAGTTCCAAGAAACACCTGCCTATGGTTACTGCCCGGGAAGGATTCGCTGACAAAATGCAATGATATTTGAGTATGAACCTTTCAAAGCTCAACTTTTGTTACCCGTGTCAGCCCATGTCATGTCTTCCATGCCCGCCGTATGGCAGAATGGCCATGAGTCCTCCAATATGAAATGAGAAATGGCCGACAACGGCGCAAAGACTTGCTGATGCCCACCCAAATCCAAATTATGACGCAAAGTAATGCGTTGCTTTCGCAACTGGCGCGGCGACGCACCGTTACAAATGTGCGGGGTCATGATGCTGTGTGAGGTTAAGAAAAGTTTGATTGCTTCTATTTCTGTGGCGCTTAATAACTCTATTGGTTCAACGCACTGACCTTGCGCAGCTATAGCCATATAGAAAACGATTTGGAAACCTGGAGCAGCAAATGTGGTTATTGCCGACCTGTGATATGGTCTGTGGACACAAACTTTTGGTTGTCTTCGGCGGTAGAAAAACCGGTTGAACATTTCTGGCGAGGATATGTGGTATCTGTCGCAGTCTGCGGTGAATCTTGGCGTTCTGCGGCAGTGGTTAAATCTGCAAAGCAACCTGCGCAAGTTTTGACTATATTATATAATAACCGTTTTTGATTTGTTGCGCCCTCAAAATGACGCCCAGTTTTTTTTGGGCGCCATGCTGATATTTGCGATTTGCCTTGTTTGCGGGGCGATGTGGAGCACTCCGCGATCTGTGGTGACTTTTCTGGTCTGAACTGACTAGCTGTAACCATCTCACGCGATTTGTGGCCTTGGCAATTTGCAGCAACTAAGCATCTGTCAACTGCAGTGGCTTGTGACCCTTGCAGCCATTTGCGGAAGCAACCCTAGCGCACTCACATGAATTTTCCGATGTTCGTCGTGATCGTTGTTGTTTACGACAAAAACAACTCAAGGAAGAAGACTGCATGCTTTCCAAGAGACGAAATACGATCCGTCCTTTCGTCAGGTCGAAAGGCGACATTTCTACAGTGACTGCGTCTCCCTCCATAACCTGGCAAGTGGATGCAAACAAGAAGGCGCCACTTTGTTTGCAGCCCTGTTCATCCCCCCTACATCCTGTAAGAAAATCCAACAAATTCTTCAAAGACCAAGTCAAAGGCGTAACTCAAGCGCAAAGGTGATTTTGCATGTTGGTTGTGGTTCTTGTCTTGGTTCGGCCCTTGACCGCACAAATCATTGGGGCTGGGCTGGGCGGCCCCCTTTCATCCACCGGCGCCGTCCAGCACCAAGGTGTGAAACTGGGCGCCCTGAGACAGGCCCATGTGCGTTGCAGGGAAAAGCTAATCAGAGTCAATCCCTGAGCAGGGATTTCAGAATTCGTAGTCGAAAAATTTCAATTCCTGTGGGAAAACACCGCGCGTCAGGCTACGCAACTTCATCAGCCTGGAGACCTTGAGCCCAAGTGTTCAAGTCTCGTTTCACATGAACATGAGAAGGGGCGAGCTGGATCCACTGGTGCAGCTGACAAAGTGTATCAGGATCGTTTGGGCGACGGAAAGATACTGCCTCTGTGCGAGATGAGCGGAATTCTTATCTGCAGACGATTGCCGATTGCATTCGCCTTTGGCTGTCAGCGTCGAGGCAGGCAGAAGGGATCGCTGCGCAGGGATGTTAGGCGCAGGGTTAGGAACGCTGCTAACATGGCGGCCAGGCATTGATGGCCAAGTAAGCTTTTCTCCCAGCGACGGGCAATCCCAATGCCAGCAATGACTCAAAGACAAAGGTCGTCCAGCGCACCGTCAGGAAGAGGCTGTATAGAGCGTTGGGAGAAGCAAGGCCGCTGTCCGTCTTTTTCAACCGCCGGCCCCCATCAATTTGGTCATGAGGTTGGCCAGCTCCAACCTGTGTGAGGGGTAGCGCCGCCGCTCTCTCCCAAAGCCTGGCAAACTTTTGGCCCTCAGTAGTGTGCGTATGGAGCGTGTTGCGATTTCCTCGCCGTTGTCTTGAGCGGATACGTGTGGCCCGCGAAGGTTCTCTCTGTTTCCGGCTGAGGGTGGCAAGGTCGCGCAAGGCGTGGCAGGGCCCACAGCTCCATCTCAGGCCCCACCAAGTCATCGCCTGCCGGGTAGACACCCGCGCAGCCGGGTTTCTCCAGGCACTCGCTTCCGATGCCGAAAGGGTGATTGAGGTCACGTCTCTACATCACGCAGTCAAAGAGAGCAGCGGAGCTACCCTGACCCTGCGCTATGGCGACAATTGACTTGAACCAGACTGGCAAGGCATTTTGGCTAATGAATGTATTGGAGAAACATTTACCCGCTCTCGAGCAAGTACAAAATCACTGCTCGAGCAAGTACAAACTCCTTCAGCAACGGAATTTCAAACATTTATTCAGCGGTGCAGCAGTAAGCCGCGCCAGTGCCTTGATGTTGTTCATTCGAAGCTTTCCAGCAAGAGTGCATTGCACCTAGGCAAGCTCTGCGCACTTGAGCTGCTAAATAGATCAGCCAGGCTGAACCTGGCAAGAACAAACAGCTCAAGTCTTGCCTCGGCACCATTGCTTAGCAACACCTAAGCAAAGGCACCGCTTGAAGATCAGAATCAATGTTCTGATTTTATCGCAAGAGGAATGAAAGTCCTTTTGTGGCTTGTCTCTTTGCCACAGACAATGTGGAAATTTCCCGAACGAACGCTCGCCCAGTCTGCGCCAGACCTTGAAAACGTTGCGAGAGTGGACAACGACGGTCCCTTCAAGCTCTATCACGTCGTCCTTCAGGGGCACAACGATGAAGGAACGTCGATGTTTCCTTTCGGAAATGAAACCTTTCTCAACTTGAACACGCGTGTGCACTGTAACCACTTGTGAGTATTTGTGGCCCGCGTCCCTCTTCTTTCGCTCCTTAGATCTGAGCCCAATGACGGAACTGGACCTGAATTCACTTCCGAACGCCTTCTTGCTGTTTGGCAACTTTTTGAACTTGAGCTTGCTTTTTGGAATCCTTTCTCTTAGGTCCTCTCATGCGAAAATGAGCAATTGTCAAGTAGATGGATCGTTCTGGAAGCAGAGGCAGGCGAAAGGGTCCTCCAACTGCTTTGGCCCTCATGACCAGCCTGGTGTCCTCCACGAGCCTCTGAATGGAAAACGGGTTGTCGGGAACATAAAAAACAGACCGTTAGAAATCCGTTGAGCAACATAAACTCGAGCCTGGCAGGCGCCATCGAAATTTGCGTTCCGCAAAGAGCTTGGCAGGAGATCTGCTGGTGGGTCATTGCAAGAAAACCTGAGTCAACCAGTTGGACTCGGACAAAGAAAGACTTTTGGCAGCGCAAGACCAATGACCATTTCAATGAAAGGTTGGAAACCCTTCCGTTGGGGCCTAGTTCATTTCGTGCATGGCAAGGAAACCCATGGATTTACTCTCTCTGACACTCTATCTGACATACCTTCTGAAGCTCATGCCCCATATCCTTTCTGGCATTCTATGACATTCTTTCTGGCATTGTTTCTGGCGCATTATTTCTGGCAAACCTTCTACCCAGCAGCAGCATACGTTCTGATGCCCTTTATTGGGTGTCTTCTGGTGTAAATCTTGACCGCAGTCGCGCTCGTCGTTTCACAATGGCGCGAGACACGCAAACACACTTTCCACCAAGATCTCCCAGGCGCTCCTTCTCCTATTATTGTTTTATACACTTGCGCAAAAAGTTCCTAGTTCTGGAGCCCAGGCTCCCAGAAGCTCCTTTCCGCACTGCGTTTGCGCTTGAAAGTTTCCACTCCTCACGCCACACCTCACGAAGCTGCTTCCCGCGCCACTACAAAGTTGCCAGCTGCTCGTTTCCAAACCGCAGTCAGTGACGACTACACACTTTGGCAATGCCCTCCTTCATTTTCGTCTTTGGCAGCTCGAGGCGCGTGCGTGATTTGAGCAAAGTGCCCACCGACGTCGCCGAGAATTCGCATTGCGCCTCACGTTTAAGCGCCGCGTCAAATTCGCACCCCACCTCATGCTTGAGCACGAGACACGCGCGCTCCCTGCAAATGGCGCCGCCGAGTCGACACAAAAACGCTTGGTTCACTAAAGTCTTGGCCCCCCAAAAAGTGTGAATTCAAAAACCCACGCGCGCCGCAAGGAAGAATAGGCATAAAGAACCGAGATGTGACACCCGCGCGCGCACGCGAACTCAGCTATGTTAGACCGTATGCGAGCATAATGTAAGTTGGCAGAAACGTTTGCCAAAGCAAGGCCCCAGCGAAAGTTAGATATGATAAGAAGCAGGTGTGCTTCCTGCAGCGAGACCCAGCGAAAGTTACACCAGATACAGGCAGCGCCCCAGCGACAACGCGCCACTAATGCCGAGCTACAGGCACCCCGCAGCGCAAAGCAATCTATGTACTGCTTGCGCGTTTACATGGGCAACTGCAGAACGCATCTCAAGCAGCAGCACATCTTGAACAGCAAGTGTAGCGCAGCCACATCTGAAGCAGCAGCTCTAGAAGAGCAGACCTGCAAGCTGCAGACGTACTCGCGGCAGACGAGCAAAGCGGAGATGTACAAGTCTCAACCGCGGTACTTGCACATCTAGAACACTGTAACTAGAAGTGCAAAGGTCTGCTGGGGAGGGGAGGGAGAGCGGCAATTCCAACATGTCACTTCCATGTCTAGGCAAACATTTTAGCTTAGAGGTTTGGAAACGCAATTCGAACACTCGCAACTTTGAAGCAGGTACGGAGATGAACGCCCTCATTCTCATTTTCACATTGTAAACACCCACGCCTTGCAAAGAAAAAGCAAAAACAACCGGAAACAATAATGAACGTGCGCGCATGCCTGCGCAACCAGCCTGCCCTTCCCTCGACACACCACAATGTATGTCGAGCCTGACCTGATGCCCCTGCTTGTGAAACATGGACAAGCCTCCGAACATGCGATGATAGCTACAACCAATTGAAGCGGCCCATCTAATAGCATTAAATTAGAAGAAAGGCTGCCCATTTACTTGCGCTTCAGAAGCGGCTCACCAATCATAGCAACTGGAGCATGTAGACCATTCACGCATATGAAGGCTTCGGTAGGCCCCCGGCACATTATGGGGCCGCAAATGAAAACCCATCGCTTCCTGACCTCTGAGGCGGAGCGATTCCATCAGTGGAGCACGCTCGATCACCAAAGCAGAAAGCTCTATGAAGGAGCTCTTCCTAAATTAACCATTGCCATCATAAAGGCGTCATGATTATCGCGTGGAAACCAAAAACCTTTTGACCCATGAGCCTGTGGCGCAATCCAACATGGTAACATGGTACAATATGTGCAGTCCAGTCTTCAGTATAACCTTCCGCAATGTCTAAACAATTCCATCTAAAACCATGGTAGTACCAGATATACCCGAAATGCTCAGTCGAAATTCAATCGAAGAAAGCTCGAGCAAAAGCCTTCACAGAAAGCCTTGTGAGGAGATGCCAACCACCCTCAAGTTGAAAGGGCTCCGTGGTCACACATCTTTACAGTAAGGCTTTTCGCGCCATTATTTAAGCTCTTTTCTCCGCCTGTCGCCCGCCCTCAGCTCAAGCCCTCAGCTGCGCCCATCAGTTTCGCCGTGTGAAAACGGCATCGTGTCTCCGCCCTTCCATCGCTTTGCGCCTTTCGCTCCTTTGAGTTTCCGGCAGCCTGCGTAGCTGTGGATCACAACTGGCCCTCCATCCGTTCTGATTGCTAAATGCACGTCGCAGCTGTGACGTCTTCACGGCGCAGAACCTTCTTCGCTGGCAGGCGGCAGGCTCATTGCCATTGTCATGGCTGACTCCTGTCTTTGCCATCTGCTTTCAGGGAGCTGACTGTCTTAAGCCTATCGCGCGAAGCTTGCTCAAGGTCCTCTTTCTGCTCCACACAGAGAGGACCATAAGGATGCTCTTACTTTTTCTGACCTTCGCGTAGATGCTGTTGCCGTAGAGGTAGAGAGGGACGGTCGTCTTGCCTTTGGGTTGATCTTGGCGACAAATCGCGCTCTGAAGAGCTTGCCTCCTGGCATGGCAGATGTTCTTTGCGGCGATCTCCTGGAGGCACCTCTGCGCAAGGCGTTGCCTGACCTCAAAGCCTCCTCCGCCAAAGTTCTCACCGCGCACGCGCTCATCTGATCCAGTGTCATACATGATGAGCTCGTCGCGGGTAACAGAGCCGTTCTCCAGCGACCAACTTCCAGCACTCTGCTGGCCCGTTGTCCAGCTCGTCTCATCCGCCCTCGTCACTATGTGCTTCATAGGGATGTGACCTTCTTGGTGGTGGTCCCTCCCTGAATGTGTGTTTCACAGCTGGTGCGCATAGCCATCGTCACTCTCCTGGCTCTGCAGGCTCTGCCGGCCAGAGTGCTCCTTCTGAAGCTCTGCGGCTGTGTTTGTGATGTTCCTTAGCCACATTGGCTACATGTCCACTCCAATCTCCCCATGACTCATCATCCTCACTCTCATGTCGTTGGCAGCTCCTGGCCAATTTAGAGGCACACAGCACACGTAGTGCAAGGACGTGGCTGCTCGGCTGCTGTGGTTGATGTCTGCCGGTGGCCTCCTGCCCTACTCTATGGGCTGTCAACTGCACCAGCACTGCTCTTTCCATTGCCATCCGCACGGTCTCTTTCTCGTTCTCTGCATTTTGCCATTGCCTTCAAAATTCTTGCCGTCGAATTTGCCTTTTGCTCCTTTCTTGTCTTTGTCTTTGCCTGAACCTTTACCTTTCCACTTTCCTTCACTCTTGTCTTTGTCCTTCTCCCCTGTCGACGTTGCCAGCGTCCTGGGCTGAAGGCCATCATTGGCGCTCTTGCTCAACAGGCCTTGAGTCGAAGATCAGTCCACCCTGCAGCGGGTTTTTGATGCACTTTCGTGAGGCCTCATAGTCGGTTCCAATGGTCGAGCTCAAAGTCCCCAATGCGGTCTGAAGGGGCATGCTTCATCGCCACTTCATTGTTTTGTGGCTGATGTGACATCTTCTCCTGTTTGGTCTGGTCCTCACACCTTCTTGCAGGCGCCCAGTGCGATGTCAGCTTCTTTGACGTTGCCCCGCGTAGCCTGACCTTTTCCATGGCTGGATGCGGCGCGCGCGGCGCGTCTTGGGGACGCAGGGGCCCCTGCCATCCTGTCTGACTACCTGGGCGCCACCACAACCCTGCAGCGGAGTGGCGCGCAACAGACGGACCCCAGTTTTCACCTTTAAGTTCAACATCAAAGGGCTGCGTGGTCACACATCTTTACATGTTATGGCGTTGCAGAAACCGTTTTCTGTATATAAAACGTAGGAACCGGAAAGCAAGAACTGAGGGCAGAAGCCACTGTTTGATTTGCTTCATTTCAGACAATGACCAGCTTGAAGTACACGGTCAAGGCGGGTGGCAAGCTGCTGGCAGAGTGCACGCTGAAGAACCAGTTTGCGTTTTGCCTGATCAATCCGTTTGTTGACGGGAACTGGGGCGAAGACAGCCGCCGGGGATCCGCACGCTACCAGAAGTTGGTTGACATACAGTATGTTGTCAGTTTGGCCAATCCTGTTTTGGCCAAACGCGCGCCGGGATCGTCATCAAACCCGGTTTTCCCCGTGCGTTTGTATAGCGGCCAACGGCTGACATCAGATGGCTCGGGAGAATGTGAATACACTATTATTATAAAGCGTGCTAACTTTGGTCTGCAGAATTTGCGCAATCTTCTTCTCATTCATCCCCCCGATTCTGACAGGGTTTGCGCGCATCAAGTGACAGGTGTACCGTTCAAGAATCTACACAAAGATTTATCAAAGTACAACTGCGCGATCCTGCAATTATCACCCAGGAGGTGTACGGAGGGCACGTATAGATACAGGCGTATGGACAGATACAGCGTGTCGCAGGTACAAGTGTATAGATACAGATGTCAAACATTTCAAGGAAATGTCTCCAACATATATACATATATATATATATATATCTATATTTATATCTATATCTATATCTATATATATATCTCTCTCTCTTTACTATTTTCATCTAACAATGTGGACACACTAGGGGTTCTTACGGCAACGGTCAAGCACCGGTGTCCAATCGAGGTGTTGCGCCGGGGCGTTTGGTTAATTCGCTGCTATTTTCAGCGCGCTCATGCCTCTCGAAATCCTCGAAGTGCATATCGACTGCGCAGGCTTGCAAAATCTGCGTGGGCGCGCCGGGGGAAACCTCGTGTGTCGGCGGTCCAAAGTCGGCTTTTCGCGACAGGCGCAAGGGACCGGAGCGGTTTTACTTCAAAGCGCAGATTTCGTGGCAGGCGCAGCACTTTGGACATGGTGGTGATCCTCGACGCGCTCTGATTTCGTGACAGGTGCGCTGAACCGTGACTTTTCTACATGTGGCAGGCTTTCAGAAATCCTAGCGCGTGCAATACTTTGGGGACCTTGAAGTGCAGATTTCGTGGCAGGCACAGCGCTTTGCGAACCTCGAAATGCAGATTTTGTAGCAGGCACAGCGCTGTGTGAACCTTGAAATGCAGATTTCGTGGCAGGCACAGCGCTTTGTGAACCTCGAAGTGCAGATTTCGTAGCAGGCGCAGCGCTTTGTGAACCTCGAAGGGCAGATTTCGTGGCAAACGCAATACTTCTTGTGACCTTTGAAGTGCAGATTTCGTGGCAGGCACAACGCTTTGTGAACCTCGAAGTTCAGATTTCGTGGCGAGCACAGCGCTGTGTGAACCTCGAAGTGCAGATTTCGTGGCAGGCGCAGTACTTTGTGAACTTCGAAACGCAGATTTCGTGGCGGCGCCTTCACTGAGAAAGTTGGGTACTCTCATACGGGCATCAATGAGAAGTTCAAGAATCGCTTGAGAACCTTCTTAGACCAAAGGAAGCATCCAGACTATACCGGCTCAACATCTACTGGGCCCACTGCGGCTGTTCGCACATTCGGTTTTCTGGCTTCTTATCCGATGATTGCTGGAAGCTTTATTCGTGGCTGTGAAATGTGCTGAACTTGCTGTACCTTAGCTGTCAATGACAAAGCGCATTGCGTTTCACCTCTGTAAACTTTGGTTTCCTTGTCTTCGCATCCGTGGGGGCGCAGCACTTTGTGCTCTCAGATGCTCACTCACTCACTCACTCACTCGCTCACTCCCTCCCTCCCTCCCTCCCTCCTCCCTCCCTCACTCACTCACTCACTCCAACTCACTCCAACTCACTCCAACTCACTCCAACTCACTCACTCCAACTCACTCACTCCAACTCACTCACTCCAACTCACTCACTCCAACACTCACTC